TAGTATTTTTTTTTCATTAGATTGTTTGCAAATATATTGATAAACCTCTATTATTTCATCGTGAAGATAGTGGTTTAGTTAAATTTGATATTCGTTATGTTGTTATATTACGTTCATTAGAACCATTGAAACTTTATGTTTATGAAAAATTCTGGCTTCGTTTTGCGAATAAGTAAGAAAAGGAAATAATATTTTAGTTTTAAATATGAATTAAATTTTATTTGAGGCCGTATTCATTAAATAATAATTATGATGATTATCAAGTACATTTTAGTAAGTAGAGACTAATGTAATTTACTGAAAGAATTTTTGTCTTATTATTTTTTAGCGGTAATGAATTATCGATATGCAGATAATCTAAAGAAGATAACATGTGAAGACTTTATACCTTTATTTGATAAACAACAACAGCATCTTAAATGGATTGATGTTCAGGTAGAAAACGAAATTGAATGAATGAAACATTTTATTTTCTTGATATTTTTTAAGGAAAATATATATTCAATGATTCGTCAAGTATTCGAACGATCAATTTTAAAAAAACCACCATGTGGTATGTCACCATGTCATCGATCACGTGCGATATATGCTGTTGATTTAATGCTTGATGAAAATGGTCAACCATATCTATTAGAAATGAATTTTATGCCTGATATTGAACGTGCTTGTTTGTATTATCCAACATTTATTGATGATATATTTCGTACACTTTTTCTTGATGAATCGAATGATAATGTCGTTGATATTTCATCGAAATAAAATAAAAACAAGAAAGTACCGTTAGGAAAAAGAAAAGAAGTAAAAACATTTTGTTCTATGATAATATATACTAACTAAATTATTTTATAATCAAAAGGAATTAACGAACTATCTTGGAATCAATTATTATACTTTTCAAGCGAAATGAATATCAGAGAAAGTTTTCCTAAAATAGAACTTTATATGATTTACCACATCAATAAGAATTTTCTTTGATTATAAAATTCTCAATGGAATAGTTCAGGAAAAACCTGATTTGTTGCATGTGAGATAGATACAACGGTAAAATCGATACTATTCAGTTGTAACTTTGAATCATTTTATGTCGATGATTTTTTCTATATGGTAAAAATTTTAATTCTCTTCAAAAAAAATGATTTATATTTTCATTACGGAATCATATGAGACAAATT